ACTTCACCAGAACAGTACCTGTTTTCCCTCCGAGGAATTTCTGGAGGTGGCAGTAGTCCCAGCACAGAAACTGCGTTGTATAACCCCATTTTCACTCAGTCTTCTAGGCAGTTTACTTATTGTTAGGTTTATGTAGGTTTGTTTGCACTAAAATGCTCTGAAACACAGTTCCCTTTTAAAATAAACAAGTACACACTCAGAGAATACATGATTTCAGTAAAACAGGGAGCTGAAGGCAGCATTAATTACCCATATGTAATTCACTTCAGGAGACACCAGACCACAGAACTTGGGTACAACGTGCAAGGCAGCAATACAGGACAACGAGTGAGCTGTCTTGTCTTTAACTGCAGCCAAGGCAGCTATGCTTCTTCACAACTGTAGTGTCTCTGCAGGATTATTCATTACATAATTTCTACCTTGCCAAGCTGTTCTTAAATAGTTAACCTTGCTCACTAATACATCCTCCAATGTAACCACTACCTATATACGTTTATATATATATTCTTTATTTACTAGCTTACCTGGTGCACATTCAGATCTCATTGTCAATCCTCAAATCTTATTCAATATTCAACAAATATTAGTCAAACATTCTGTGATTACCAGCTATGAAGTTTATATGTGCAGCTTATCCAATACAGTAAAGCCAATTTCAGGAAAAAAAAAAAAAAAAAGCTATGTCTTATGCTAAGTCTGCTGAGGAATTTGATGTTTGTTGTTGCTTTTTAGGATAGCATTCAACAATGCAAAGTCTAAGACAGTTTCTTCCATTATTCATATGCAAATATTTATTAATATAAAAAATATTACAGGGAAATCTTAAAGTATATCATTAACTTTGAATAAGATTTTATACTTACTGTCTGTCTGCTTTTAAAGAAAAGGTGGAATGTATGTGCCATTTGAGAACTGTACTAACCAGGGAGTGCCTATGAGACACCTCCATACTACCTGCTATCTTGTATTTTTATTAGAAAGTGCCATCAATGTTTTACAAACAAAACCAAAACCACCCCATCCTGAAGAATTTCCAGAATAGGTAGGAGGTGACAGCTGAGTATACCAGAAAGAAATAAATGAAGAAAGTACAAAGTAGCAGTGCATTAATGATGAAAATTGCTGAATTTCTTTGGTATAACAGAAAAGGATTTAAAGGGGAGTAAGGATGCTGTTCTGCAAATCTGTATAAAAAACAACTTCCTTGCACAAAAGGTGGTGTGAGTGGATTGACAAAAATTTTTTACGTAGTGCAAGTGGTGAACCAATAGTAGATCTGAGGATCAGTAGGCCTAAAAGGCCAACATAATACAGTTCAACAAAGGTGAATAAATGACGACAAGAAATGTCACAAAATAGGTTATCAGATAACTCTGTTTTAATGTTCAAAATATTTACATATAATAGATATTTCTAGGAGGTTTGTTGGATGAAGTAGAAATGCAAAGCCACAACCAGATGCAGGCTCAGGTACACTAATGCAACACTACAGTAATTATCAATAATACTATCGTAACCATCAGTGCAGATACAAGTCTGTTTTTCTAGGTAAACTATAGGAAAAGAATACTCCAGTCAACATTATCCAAATTTAATGGTAGTTAAATAGCCCAATACAAGAAGGGAATATCTATGAATGTAAATGAACACGTGGGGTACCACAACGTGGAATATGTAATTAAACTATTTGCTTCTCTTTGTTGTGCTAGATCATAATTGTGTGGTTTTGTTTGACTTTCAAATTAGAGTTATTAATGTATGTATATGCCACTAAAATCGCTGCTTTATTGACATGCTTATCATCCTTACTACTGCGAAATCTGAGTGGGAGGTCAAACTTGCAAATTGACCACGTTAAATGATTAACATCATGAGTAAACCCCAAAATTTATGCTACAGGAGATAGATGAAGCTCAAATAACAGTTTCCTAGAGCAGAATTGAAAAAGAGGAAGAGTGAAGGAAAGAAACGAATAAACATTTGAAAGAGCAGCAGAGAGTTTTACATAGTGAAAGTTAGGGTGTAACACAAACTGGTGGAGGGGATCAGCAGTGCCTGATCCCATTTTCCTCCCAAATATGATCACAGACTTGTTTCAGGTAACAGAAATCCAGTAGGACGGTCACAGAATTCCCAGGACTAATGGTGAGTGTAGTAGCCATGATATAAAACCTCCTTCCAATCCACATAAAACCACCAAACCATAAAGAAGGGAGAAGTTATGCCACCAGCACTAGCCAACCAAAACACATTTATGTGACTTGGAAGATAAATATTTTCTCCTGCATCTACAATCTTCTAGCTTGTATATTTATCAGACATCTTAACACCTACTTGAAAACACACTCACAGTTCTTTAAATGTAAACAATGACGTTTGTCCTAGCCTGTAGGTCTGTTGATTTGAAAACTTGTTTTATGTAACAGTTTGGACTTTTGTTATTTCAAACAAGTTGGAGCACATGTCCCTTCACAATAGAAGTGTTTCAATTTTAGTTAAATTTTGGTATGTAACAAGATCACAGTATAAACTAAACTTCACTATTGACAATTTAGATTGTGTATTATTTTTGGATGATAATTTGTCTCCAAATCCATAGTCATACTGTTCTCTTAGTCTAGACCCCCTAGTGGGGTCATATTAATTGTACTTTGTTACCTTCACTTGGTTATTTCTAAATCCATTTTAAACTTGCCCTCCTCTTTGCATGAACTCTGACAAAGTTCAGTTGAAGCTTTCTTTGTGTCCTAATAATGTCGGTATTCAGTCAATGGTTACATTATCATCTTACCAGGAATTCTGTTTTCTTAGAATTATGCTCACTTTTTAGCAGTCTTAGTTATATCTGGCTTGTAATTATTTGAATGTTATTTTATGATATACAGTATAATAAATATTGTACTGCATGTTTTAAGTAACTGTTTAAATAGCTAATCCATCTATAATTTAGGGAAGTAAAAGAGATTTGATCAGAGGCATTTAATTCTGCCCAAGTAACAACTCCAGCTAAGACTGTACAGATAGGCTCTGCAGAACATTTGCAAGGAAGAAAATCTGAAAAGGTGCTGAAATACCAGAAACATAAACAAAAATTTTCAGTGCCGTTTGAAACATCTCTTCCATAGTCATGATTTTTGCCTTTCCTGACTATCCTCCAACCAAACTTCTGGAAGATATTTTCAAAGTTTTGAAGTTATGTCTTTGGAATTTTAAATGCTTTCAAAATTCCCATGCTTTTTCCTAAAAAGGGGACAAATTTTAATTCAATGTGCAATGAGGTGAGAACAGAGCTTACAGGTAATTTACTATTGAAGCATCTTTAGTTTAAAAGAAAAATTTAAAAAATGTTTCTCTCAATCTTTGGTTTCATCTACCATGTGACAACAATCAAAATCTTAATCAAATATTGTACAAAAAGAAGGTATTAAATCAGAGCAAGCTAGCCAACCCCAGGAGTTGATAGCTCTGTGCATGATTTACTGTTCAGTGCTTAACAAGAACCCCATGAATTGGCTGCAACAAATAAAGAATCCATCTCTACTTGTAGACTTTTTGTAGCAGGTTTAGATCCTTATCCTGTGTTTCTTACTGTGTACCACATTAAGTTATCCTGAGAACCACTAGCCTTGAAGTCCCAAGTTTTTAAACACACTAGAAAAAAACATGCTACTAAAAATTATGGCCATGAGAAGGGCATAAGGAACCAGAGAAATAGAAACTGGGTGTAGTTTAGTGCTCTGCCAAGCTGTAATGCTGCTGAAATTGCCACTCCAATGTCACTGTGCCCTTAGTCTAGAAGGCCATCCTAATGAGTAATGATATCCTTCAAGCATTAATCCCTCACAGACAGATACTTGCTGGTTTACCATGAAGATGAAGAGCACATAAACACAAGTTTCAGTATTGTTGCCTATCAGAAACACAAGGAACTATTAAAAAAATGACAATTCCTCAAGATTAAGTTTCCTCAGTCCAGAATTCAGCCTAACTAAGGAGGTGGCCAGAGAGCAGAGAAAAGGCTTTTATTTCAGCAAGGAAACCTGAATTACATCCAAGAAAAATCACACCTCCTCTGTCCAGACTTCCAAGAAATAATGTACTTACCCCAGAGTTCACCTGCCTCTGCCATTGCTCATGGTCTGAAACACAGCTTTGCCACACCAATGTTATTTTGCCCCAGTTCAGCTGGAGCCCTACAACAAACAAATCCTTTCTGGGTAATCATCTAGCTATCACTGTTCATTTGCAAGTCATCTGGATCCACGAACTGTATTGCACCGTGCTGCTGCTAGGAAACACAGTGTTGTGCAAGCACCATTTTTAAGGCAAACATGGAGCTCTCAGCCATGTTGCTTCCACAGTCTACTTAGCAAGGGATCTTGCTATCCATTTGTGCAAGAGAAGCGTTGGCCAACAAGAGCATGTGAGGACCTGACTGCACTCCCAAGAGAGCTGGGGCCCGGATTCTTTGGATTCAGGCCTCAGGGCAGCGAGAGCCCACCACACCCTACCTGGTCATGGTGAAGCGTCAGGGCTGGAGTCTACAGTACTGCTTCAAATAAGACACCCACCTGACAAAACGCTGAGTTTTGTGACTGAGCAAGACAATAGAGTTTCCTAGAGAGCTGGGATTGCAAATTATTTCTGGAGCAGTCTTGCGGCCGTTGGGTCAGGAGCTCTGCCAGACTGCGGGAGCACCTCAGCACTGCTGCTCTGCGGGAGTAGTGAGGGGCCAGTACAAGAAAAGCCCCAGGAACCAGCGGTGTTTCTCAGTGACTGACCCGTATCTGGAAAGCAGAACTGACTATATTCCAGTACAGATGCTACCATACGCAGCAGCAACTGTTTTGTAGTGAGTAAATGCATACCAGTCTGCCACATGCAGCTACAGTCTGGAGTAATAGCAGGCAGTAATTACTGCAATAATCATATCAAAGTAATTAAATCTAAAGTTTGAATACCAACACACTATTACAGAAGCATGGAGTCATTTTTACCTCATAAAATCATTATGCTTTATTGATGCTGAAAGTACCGCATCCCACAAAGACCCATTACTTAGAAGAGTAAGATCATCAGTCACTGTAGCAAAGATTTACGACATAAGAACTACAGTGCTGTCCTAAATCCAGCTACTAGTGCCACAATTACAAAAATTAGTACTACTATTAAGTCATTTCCACATTTAGTAGGTTGGGATTTTTCCAAGTTTATGAAGAGTGGAGAACAGTTCCAAGGCAATTCATAAAGCATCTTAGAATTATGCAGAGGGACATGGGCTGATTTGCCCAACCTTCCCATTGTCAGAGTCCTCCCATTATACTAAATTTTCATTTTTCTAACTCTTGCCACAAGAGCTGGTCTGAATTACTGATAGAAGTAAATAAAGCTTTAAAACTGGGGAGAGAAAATGAGCACCAGTATACTGCACATTAATCTCTCCCATACAAGCCACTCAAGCACTGTCATGGCTGGTCCCAGTTTGTGAGACAGAAGACTAGGAACAAAAGAACCAGGCATTATGGAGTAGGGCTCAGAGACTAAACAAAGTTTAAACTGAACCAGATCAGTTCTGTTTTCAAAATTACCTGACCCTGATACAGAGACTGAAAACAAGCACCATGTGTTCTGAATTATGCTTCCAATATTTCTAGAATCTCAATTTGTGAATTTATGCTAGTAAGAAGCAGAATATTGTTCTGAAGCACGTTTGTCATATAACCAGGATAACTACCATATATACGCCTTTCAGTACAGTAAAGATTTATACTAACCTATTTTGAACTAACAGATCAAGATCAATGTTATTTCATAGGTTGCTCCTAAAGCTCTACAAACTCTCAGCAAAAACCCACCTCATAATACAATACCAAGTACCATAACCTACAATATTAAGGAGACGTTATTTAAAAAGCATTCTTCTGCCACAAACCACCCCCACCTCTCCTCAAATTTTCTAGAAACACACTGCAGTCTTCATTAAGAAAAAAAAAAACAATCTCAGGAATCTTTCTTCACACCTCTGCTTCCAACTCACCTTTTGACGAGTCAAAACACTTTTTGATTCAATAATTTCTGCAGTGACAATGCACTGTTTGGCACTTATGATGGTTTTATTGCATGGCTGATAAATAGAATATAAATGAAAAGGTTAAGAGCTTTTATTTCAGCTTCTTGGAAGCAGCAAGAAAAATGAGGAAAACAGAGCACAGATTGTATTTGTATTTACTAATGCTTTACTTGAGTTCACTTTGGAAAGAGAGTCCCCCTTTCTCCTTGTCTTTGAACTTCAAAGTATTTCCAAACAGTAGAATTTTAAGACAGGTTAAGCTGTAAGTATAAATTAGCTCCCAGTTTAAAAATATTATGTAAAGTGCTCCTATCAGGATTTGTTCAGCTCAGTGAATGATTTTTATTTAAGCATTTTAAAAAACAGTATTTTGTTGGGCAGACACAACAATCAGATAAATAACATTTCAAACATCAGTACAAACTTCATTTACAAAACCTTTCCAGAAGTCTTCTGAAAAAGGGTCTTTAGCTGATAAAAATAAATTCTATTAAATTACCCTGAAAAACAGACAGGTATAACCAGGATCCAGTCACTGGATAATATATTTTCTGCAGTAAGATTTAGTTCCTTTTTGCCTTTCACATTCACCCATGAAAGCACATATATTGCTAAGTAAATATGTGGCTATATAGATGCATATAAAAAGTCTTTTGAAGGACCTATCAGAAATTTCAACTCTTTATTTTTAGTTATGGAAACAGGTACATGGATCCACAGTCTTAGCAAAATGCACACATGAAGGGCATCATTTCCGGAAGCGTTTAAACAGCGGATGGATGTGTTTATTTGAAGATGCCTTACTCCGTGAAGAGTGGTATTCCATGTAAACTGTATCATCTGCTCCTGACATAGAGCTCATCGTGCCCGTACGACGTGACACCTGCAAGTAAGAGGAGAAAAAAAGTAAGTGCTTGGTGTGTGATTAGATAGACTGACTCTAACAACTGATGCCCACTGGCTGCTGGGCAGGACTGTTCATTTAGTGACCTCAATGCCAAAAAGCCTTCCGATATTTTTCTTAAGAAGAATTTTTACAATGAAAGTCACTGGCTGCCATTTACCATAAGTATACAAACATATGTAAGGTTTAATATGGAAAGAGAACTTAGAGTGAGAATTCCTAATGCATTTCATCACAATGCCATTTAACTAAAAATTAACCCGAAAAAAAAATTTACCACATTGTACCTTGACTTTAACTTATGTATCAATAAATGTTTCAGGCTATTTATTTTTTTAATATCTCTTGCTGAAAGTGTCAAACTACTATCTACAGTAACAGTACTTCTCTTGAAAATGAACAGAAGTGGCCCTTATGTTTCTGTCCTCTGGGCATGAGGAAATCAGGGCATGATTCAAGGAGCACAGTGCCACTACAAAGAGTAGGTGCTGTGACATACATGCATCTTAAAAATGTTTTAAAATATTTTCATTGCTTGTGACTTAGAAGGTTTACTTCCAATTCTCTAACAATAGATCTGTTATCTCCAGAAGGACATGAATTCCACATCTAACTTCTTTCTAGTGCCCAACAAGTGAATTACTCAAATAGCTAAGTGCTAATGCAACTTAAAAAAAAAATCTGTTCTCCAATGTTTCACAAAGACACTAGTGCATCAATGATGGCATCACATTTAGAATTAGAATGCAATGGTCTGGTTCTGTCACATTTGTGGTCATCCTTTTCAAAGCATTCTTCATTACCTGAGCCGACTTTGAACCATATTCTCCAGCGACTACTTCCTCCTCAGCATCCAGGTCAGATGCTTGCAGGACTTTCTGGAGAAGCTGCTGCTGTTCTTCTTTGGATGAAAATGAAAGTTCTTCTTCTTCCATGCCAGCAAGCTTTGTTATTACCTAAGAACCAGAGCACCGTACAAGTTGAGGGCTCTTCTTCCTCACTGTTAGCTATTCAAAACCAAGACAAGGATTTCTGATTCCATATCCTGTTGGAACTGCCTTTGAACTTTTATTAATGATCTGGACAGCTTAACACTATGGGTAGCACAGATAAATATGAAATCTTGCTAAGTCATGTACATATATATACACACATACATCCCTTGTTATATTCCAGCTGGAAATGCATACAAACCTTTGGGGTAAAAAAGAAGGGGAAAATAGAAAAGAAAAACAAAAGAAAAGCTATGGACAGAGAATGTCAGACAAACACTGTCCATACCAGCTTAACCAAGAACCTGACCAAAGCACATAAATCTCAGATGCACATTCAACTCACTGCAAGGTTAGCTTCATGCTGTGGGCTCTAGATTTGTCTAGTTTAAGAACTAGTACTTTATACTATATTTAACAAAAATAATCCACTAGCTTTCCAGACACTGAGATTTTTAGCAATACATTGAGGAATATGGGAATAAAACCCCTAACAAATCGAGATGTATGATCACTTGTTGAGAAACAAGGCCTCAACCTGCAACAAACCATCATCATCAGAGCAAAACGACTCCATGTTTGTGTACTTAGACACAAGGTAACTTTGCTGTTATGTTTGCTCTCTATGAAACTCTCAAGTAACTCATCTGATAACCATGGATGCAGGGCACATGCCATCTACTGGCAATATAGTGGCATTTACTCCATTAGCTGAAAACCTCATCCAAAGAACTGAAAAGCTCTCAAATTTCTGTTATAAAGCTTTACAATAGGCAGCTTGCTCTCTTAATTAGAAGTATTTTGAAAGTTTCACAAGAATTTTTCCTGCAGTTAAATGCATTCTGGTAACCACATGTTTATACATGAGAATCTCAGTTTTCCCGTTGTTTCCAACTTGAAGAGGTTTTGAGAAAGACATCCTACTTGATTATGTAGTGTTTCCCCCTCCTCATCTTTCTTTTTCAGTCTATCTCTTGAGCCACTACAATTAAATACTAATTGCTTCAGTAATCTGGGGGATCTGATCACAAAGACAGATAAAACAATACAAATACAGTTTAAGGCAAAACAAATCCACATTAGACACAAAGTACTGCTTTTGAAAAACAAGGTAATGAAACACTAGAATGAATAATCACTCTTGTGGGTTTTTGTCAATGGCAATTTCTAATTCAAAATGGATGTCTTTCTGAGAAATTTCCCTAAGCTTTAAGAATCCATTCAGGGGAGCAACCTGTCCTAATATATGGCTAAAGGAACACTGTGGTTCCCCCTTCTTGTTCAATTAGAAGCATATGTGTTATGATTATCTCAAAAATAAAGAAAAATGAGTCACGAAAAGCAGTTTTAAATTGCATTAGCCAGTTTCCAGTTGTGGTTGCAAAACAGTGCTAATGTGATTCATAGAACAGAAAGAATTCCCACTGCGTCATCTTTCGTTTTAAACTGTTCAACAGATGCCAAGTTTAGAGTTATCCCCAATTCTTTGATAAAGTGAGGAGTTCTGCTATTGATTTAAAATTTAATATATCCTACATTCAGTCTCTAAATAAAAACCTAAGTAATTAAACTATCGTTAGCTAATAAAAAAAAAAAACCACTAGATAATTAGACTCCCAGCAGTAAATTGTGATGACAAAGCTCCTATTTAAGAATTACAGACAAAATAAGTGATCTAGAAAAAAAAAAAATTTATTCCAGTCCTCTTTTTGATGCAAAACAGATAATGCAGCTTTTGAGAGATGGCAAGAAGAAATTAAGTTCTCAGAAAAAAACTTGAAAACTCTTACCCTTTTAAAAGGAGTAATGAATTTTTAGTAATTTAGGCATTAGGAACAAATATTCTGAAGGAGAGGACATCAGCACTGAAATAATTACCTAAAGATGAGGTAGTCTCCAGATTTGGAAGAGTAAGAAGGTAAACATGTGCTGGGGAGGACATATACATAGTTGATCCTGCTTTGGAATGAAGAAACAGAATAGATGGTTTCTTGGAAGTTTCTTCCAGCCCTATTATTTTTTGATGCCAGCTATGGCTAAAGCTTAAAATCTGGACAACAGCAGAAAATACATATTCTAAACATTTTGTTCCTAAACTGCAAATAAAGAACATTCCACTACTGCTCAGCTAAAATGTTGCTCCAGATACTCAGTTGACACTTGCACTGGGGTTTTTTTCTGTATTACACCAAAACTCCTAGGACTAGGTGTTCCTTGCAAAGCAAAATCCCTCTATTTTAGCCTCTTAGTTCTCAAATCCAATGCATTCAAATATACATAAAGGGATTTCTCTAATCTTCTTGGCTATAGCCACATAGATGCATTTTCTGTAATTAGTTGCAGCTTAGTACTGATCTATAATTTTGTCAAAATACTTTCACTACAAAGCAAAACAAGGTTTTTACCTATAAGGAGTGTGACATGTCTGTTTTGGTGTAAGGACCTCCTTAAAGCTCTCTTTAATAGGCCAGTGATTACAGAGCAATTTATTTCAGCACAGCAGCAGTTCAGAGCGGTTTTACCCATTGGGATGTCCTGTAGTGCCTGTGCCTGTACACCTCATGAGGAAAAGCTCTTTAACAGCTATGCTCACGTGCAATCCCACGGAGGCTGCGTGCCCTTGCACCTTGTGCAATCCTTGCATGATTCTGTCAATGCCCTAAGCATGATCTTGTTCCCTAAAGACAGATATGGGAGCCTTATCTTTTCTTCTTCTTCTTCTCTGCAGTGTTTCTTATTGGGAAGGCTCCTAATCAGAGAATTTAACTCCAGTTTCTGCTAACACAGAACCACTGTATCAACACATCTGCATCCTGAACGATTTTCTGTACCACTGTAGGCTTTGGGCAGCACTGTGGAGACAGTGCACAAGATTAGTGTGTGGACAAAGATCCCCGAAAGGGATTTGTTTTGGAATGGGTTGGTAGACACTTCAGACACCTAACCTTGTGATTCCCAGAGTCAGATGTATGAATGTAGGGTGAATGAATCCTGCCTGTTGTATGTTGTCATTAGCCACAAGGAAAAAAACTTTCTCCCCGTAGCAAAATATTGGTCTGAGACTGCAGTTCTTTGGAAATTACTTGTGACTTGTGATATTTTGCATGTTTTCTGAATAGCTGCTGGCCACTCTGACATGAAACCTACCAACAACGCATTACGCATAACCAGTACGACAATGCATTCAGGAGGCCTGCACGGGTGGGCAACTGAACAGCATAAATATAAACCAACCATGCAAGAAACATTCTGCTTCATTCACCAGCGGGTGCTTGGTTTGAAGTTCAGATACTTACCTTTCTAGAAGCTATGCTAAGCTACTTGTATCTACCCTCGCAGCAATATAGATGAGAAAACAATACTGGAACAGTTCTTGCTTGCAAGCAAAACTTTCATTAATACATTACACAACCAGAATTCTGAAGTATCTGACCTAATACCAACATGAAAGAGTATGAAAGTTATATTCTTAGGCCCCAAGTATAATAAATAGAAGGGACAAGTTACCTTGAAGCTATAACCTTGATCTACAAGAAACCGTTGTCGCTTCGTTGAATATGCCATTTCCTGAGTGTCTTGGGATACAAGAGAATAAAAAAAGGCATTGTATTCCTCTGCAACCATGCCTAGGAGACAACAACATTGAGTGATTAGCTCTGTTTGGAACACTGCAACAAAGAACAAAAAAGGACTGAATACTTAAAACAGGTGTTTAAATAAGTTGTCTCTACACAAAAATAATTTGCAAAGTTTAGCTGCACCCAGACCTTACAAAAACTGATTGACAAAATACATGGAAAGAATGAAAATTCCTACTCTTGTTCTTAATAACTTGAGAATGGGCAAAAAGGAAAAAATGGAAAAAATGAAAATGTAGACTAACACAATCACACTGGTGCTCTGAGAAGAACTGCTAGGCAATGTGAAAGATAACGTTATTTTAAAGTCTAGTATGTAAAGAAGTAAAAGGTCAAGAGCAAGTATTGTAACAAATGTCCAAAAAAATCAATATAAAAAGACAAAGGAAAAGTTTTATCAATGTAAACTGGAGTTTGAAGTGGTTTCGCGTTAAAGAAGGTGAGACAAAGATATTTAGCTAAGAAATCACAGGGCTATTTAAAGCCCAATGATATACCAGGATGTGTATAGTTTATTTTTTTAAACTTAACAGTCCCTAAGATCTATGACCCAACCAGCACTGGGTCCTCTTTTAAAAAACAAGATTTCACTAAGACTTTGTTAATTCACTAACATGAATGTTTTTCATGTTTCCGTAGGTGTTTTTAAACAAGGTCTCAGCTGTAACAAGCATAAACTGCACATAAAATAAGTGTATGCAGACCTTAAATCCAAGTAGAAGGTATTTTAAGAATCATTTTTCTAAACAAAAAGCTCCTTGGTATGCTTTGCAAGAACACAGCTATCTGGAAACTAAATCCCATTTTTTAAAGAAAGTAATCTGCAGTCTCAAAAATGTGCTTTCTAGAGACTTGCTTTTTAAGACTAGTACTAGGATTTTTTAAAAAACAAATTCATGTTGAGGAAATTATCAAGAAAAAGTGAAAGAACGACCAAAGAAGAAATTAATTTTCCTTCAGCATTTTTTGTCCTTTGGAAGTTTTCCCAATGCAAAGCTTTCTGACCCAGAAAATGCTTCATTTCCATTCACTGGTATATAGGCACATTCTCTTTGACTAAAACATAATCCAAGGGCAATATAAAACAAGTGGCATGTACATCCAGTTTCTCTGCAGTTCTATGATACCGCAACCCAAGGCCCACAGCTCAACACCCACTGCATTTACCTTTTTTGGCTCTCAGCACTCGTCCCAGTCTTTGAGCCTCCTGTCTTCGAGACCCACCATGGGATGAAATCTGAATCAGAACATTGGCTTCAGGCAGATCGAAGGATGTGTCACCTACCTGTAACAGAGAAGCAGCCTCTGAGCAGTACCGTACTTCCATATGTCATCAGCAAAGACTTAATACAAAGTACACCTTTGTGAGCTGTGATACAAAGATGTCAATGGACAACATGCATGTGTAACTTGCTCTTAAATAAAGTTCACACCGAAGATGGATACAGGGACATGCTGAATGTCCTCACTTACCTTGGAAATGAAAATAGTGTTGATTTTTGGATTGTGCTTGAAGTTTTGTAGAATTTGCATTCTTTCACCTTGTGCAGTAGGACCATATATATAGGGTCTGAAAAGAATAGAACATATGCAAAGTAAATGAATTCAAGATTTCTTAACCATCTCTTATGAAGTACTAAAATACTCATGGCAGGGAGTGCAGTACACATTTGAATTATACAAAAACAAACCAGATTTTGCTACAGCTTGGTTTACTTTTAGCTTGTTTGGCTCTTTATGGCAGCTACCCGGTTGTTTGTGGAACCCTCTGCAGCAACCCAGTCTGCCAGAAATAAATTCTGACAGTTATAAATGTTGTGCAATTACATGCACCAGTGAAGCTGTATATCAACAGACTGAATACATTTGCTAAGCCTACATGAAAGACTGAAGGCAGCTGTTAAAATAAGAGATTTTTTTCCCTCAAATCTACTGAGTTAGCACATTGACAGCTGCAACCTTTGCTTCCTATTTAAACACTTGAAAATCCAGGCTTCTCTACCAATGATACACTCAGCATCACAAGCTGGCTCCTGGATGTTGTTCTGGGAAAATTATTCTTGCTTTTGAAGCTAATTTCTTGCCCCTCCTAATACCTTTTGGACCTACTGAAATAAGAACAAGGTCCCAAAAACTCCTTGGCCATGAACAGCTCACAGTGGCATTTCACCTAAGGTTTCTAAGGTTTGATGATGAATCACCTGGAACATTTAATATCTTAACCCAGAAGGCTCACACAAACTCTCAGTCACCCACAAACTTCATGAGTAACTTGGGCTACTATGAATTTTCCAAGAAAATTTCTGGCTGTTTTCTTCCTGCCTGCGGAGAGGGTTTTTTTTAAAAAAAAAAGCAGCTAGAAACAGCAAAGCCCACATAAAGAATGAGAGGCATGCAGGAGCACATAGCCACTACTTTTTCATCTGTTGCGCTACTTTTCCAAATGCTCATTAACAAGCATCTCCAAATACCAGGAATCAAGTTCTACAATTTCTATTTTGTTCACACTTACATACATTATTTCTAACACAAGGAACCAACCTCAAACGTTTCATTTAACTTTTAATATTGCACATACACAGGTGGTAGCTGAACATAAACATGCAGTGCACAGCACTAAGGTTTTGTATTCTTATCAGTTAATTCCTGTGTGTTGGCTCCTCTTGCTTTCTTCACTACAAACTTTATTCCAGTTTTTATTCTAACAAACAATCCTAGTCACCTCTAATCTAATTCTTCTATTTAGTGTATTTAAGCAGATTTTTAGAAAAACACAGCTAAAAAATGAAAGTGGCAAATGAGTCAACTCTGAAACAATACTGTTATTATTCAGTTAGTAGCATTCAGTAACATTTTAAGCCTTATTTAAAATTTTGTTTAATATTTAAATTGTGATTACTTTAATCCCCAACAAAACTTAAATGGAAGTTTTAAACTGAAATTAAAGCATTTGTGAGCCTTCTGTTTCCTAAAGCCACCAAGAAGGGTTCAAACACATTTTTTTAAGAACAGAATAACCTGGAACTTCTGTCTATCAACCATTTTATGGACCCTACTTGACAATAATTCATTAACACATAACTGAGTACCTTCCTGAACCTACAACATCCAATACTAGACTGATTATTTTTTTTTAAAACAATTCCTTTTCCTCACTGCAAAAAGACAATTGAGGGAGTTGCAAAGATAGATCCCCCTCCCATTAACTGACATAACTGTCAAAACCACAGAGGCATAGTCCTTCAGAAACAGTGATTTAAACATATTAATAACACCATGAAAAAACAGTCAGCACATGAGCTATACTATAATGGCTGACAAACTCATGACAGAGCAAAAGCTGGCAAAACAGATTTGAATTCTGTGGCCCCAAAATTATAGTGAAAATAATTCCTGTCATGTGCATGGCCTTTCCCTGCCAGCACCAAGAGAAAGGAGGGCAAGGGAGAAGCTGCAGAGCTGGCCAGACCACGGCCATCTCTCCCTCCTCGCAGGAACCCACCCACCCCAAGTGCTTCAGTCAGGTCACAGAAGTGCAGTGGGAACTATCCCGCTGCTGGGCCAGCACAGGCCACTACTGCTGCACCCGTCAGGCTGCTCTCTCCTCCTTACACATGTAATTCCTGCCCCACCCAAACCAACAGCTCCCTTTGCTTCAGCTTGCTCACAGCAAACTATGAGAGAATATTCTCTAGTTAAAATAAAGACTCCCTCACCTTTATCCAGCACTGCAAACCTCCTTTCTTTCTAACACTGACAGCCCTATAACCTGGAGCTCCATACATGATGTGAGAAATGGAGAATTCACTCAAGAACACGAAAAGCAAGCACCTTTCTTCACCTGGTTTTCCTGCCATGCTTCCACAGCAACTACCCCACTTAAAAACTGCTGTGCTACTTAGCAAGTGCCCCCTCCCAGCATCGTCTTTGCTAAAGGCTTGTTTGTGGTGCACTGAACACTGTTAGAAACATTCCAGAGGCATCATTACAGCTAATCGCTGTCCAGACAGATTAAAAAAAAAGGAAAGAGACCACGGGTGTTGGAATTCATCCAGCATCATTAGCTCTGCTTACTGTTTGATGTCACAGCAAGCCAGCACAACGCAGCTGTTAATCTACAGTCAAAACTAATCATGAATTTTGGGAAATGTTAGGCTTGTTTGTGGTTTTACTAAGAAGTACCGCTGAAATTCCTAGACATGAAATCATACACAGTTAAAATGCCCCACAGCTTCCAGCAAGCAAGGTGCTATTTGGGCTTGTCAAAGAAAGGATGAGGCCAGCTTCTATACTTATTTTCCCCAGTAACTGCTCTATGTCTGATCTTAGCAAACACTCTCCCTGATCACCTCCCCCCAAACCGCACAGACACACTGAAGCTAACCCCTCATTCAATTCTATTTATACAACCTTCTGTAACCACACTCATGTAAGGAGTCATTTAATGTAGCCAAGAAGCTCATGGGAGCAATATCCTTTCAATTTATCAAAAGATTACAGTAGTAATCTAGACAGTGCACTGCCACAGCACAGAATCCCCAAAAGTTTGTCTTAGGTTTTTTAGACAAGGTTTAGACCAAGAGAACCTGAAGAAGAATGAATGTCTTGGATCCCCAAAGATCTTGAAAGATCCAGGGAGTGTCTATTTGAAAACCTTTGCCTCAGAGAAATAGGGGAAGCTACCATCTGTTCAAGGACAGTTCTAGTGATATTTTTTAAAGCCCCTCATTTTTTCCACTGGCTTTTAATGGAGAAATACTAACAGTCTTCCAGAGAAATCTTAGATGAAAACTCCTCTGAGGCAAGTGCTAATCAGAGATTCTTTTCAAACGGTTCTACAGCAAAATAATGTTGCAGTGCCAATAAAATCCACCCAAAAAAATACCCTCCCAAGCTCCTTTTTATATAGGAGGATTGGAGTTAAATCAAAGTATTACAAGAAATATCTAAAGACTACTGAAAGCTCTGAGATTACAATTTTCCAGGAAGGAGGAAAATAAGCGCCATTGTTGGCTGTGAACACTTACTTCCCAAGTCTGATTGCATACTCCTTCAATGCAAACACATTGTCAGCAAATACGATGATTTTATCATTCCGTCGCTCATGAAACTTAATCAGGAACTGGCAGGCTCTGAATTTGTTTGGGTTCATGGTGTACAGCAGTATTCGCTTCTTTGTTTTGATAGCTACATATTCTCTATAAAATTCAGGTGACATTGGGCACCAAACCTAGAATTAGAAAACATGCACACACACACACAGAGTAACCCTCTGTTATTAGTTTATTTTATTCCAGTGGGAATTGAAAAGATATTTGGGAGACAATAATGCATTATGGCTTTCTGTATGGTACAAGCCACAGATTTTAACACAGTAACTTCTGTACCAAAATGAAAGCTACTCAATGGTGTAGTCTCCAGCACTGCCAAATGTTTAACATCATTAATATTCTGACCTTCCAAAATGCTTTGGCAGTGAGATCCACAACAGAAACAGGCAATGGGATTGGGACAGGACTGGAAGATACTTCCTTTATGTTTCATACTTAATGATTTTACTGTATGTTACTACTTTTTACAGCACAATAATTAAGGGAATGAACTGTGTAATCTCCCTGTCACAGCAGTCAAAGCTTTTCCCATAAAAAATAATTTTCATCCATATTATGAAAGCTAAGAGACACATTTAGTCTCCATTACAGAACAAATTTATCAATCTTATTTTCATATACCCACAAAGGAATGAACTTTAACAGCTGTTGAGTCTACAACTTCCAGAACACTAGGATTCATAAGAATATTTCAACAGGTTTTCCTAAGCAATTATTTTATTATGTAAATACAGATCACAGTACTGCACAAGTCTAAGCTTACTGAGATTTTTTTTTCCTACCGTAGCATGAAAATAGAAAAAATTATGAAGTAAAAAGTTTATGCCAATGCAATGACACTATCTATAGCATATAATGACACCCTGCAGTGCATATAATTTAGAAGATATTCCTTCTGTGGTACATGGGTTATTCCCCCATATTCATTGCATGGTACAAATTAACAGAATACTGCAAAGAAAAGCCTCTTCCATAACCATCATTCAGCTAAGAAAGTTATGTGACAATTCACAGGAGTTTATTTAAACAACCTCTATTGTTCTGTACTGTTAAGAACTACTTTTTGTTTCAAAACATTTTTTTCCAGTGAGTTGAATGCTAGATGAGGCTTTTTTTCATCCCTGACTACATTAACAATAAATTTATGCATTGAATAGGCTCCATTGTTATTGTATGCTGTCTACATGAAAGATATAAAATTGTTAAATCAGAAGAGAGTATTTCAACGTGAGAATGAGATAAATAACATTTGATTGCAGTAAAATAATTAATCTATTGCTTAATGCCTTTGACTACCTGGCAAAGTGAATATATTTTCATTTATGTCTACACTCTTCTGGATTTGGAAATGGGTGAGATCTACTTCTCACCACAACGATCTTCTCATTTTTATATTTTGCAAGATGCGTGCTCCAAGCCAAAAAAATTAGTAAGGTGGCTGGAAAAAAAGAGTGTTTGTAAATTACAAAACTCTGAAAAATATAATTAAAGAACAGGTTTGTTCTCTTTTTTTTAAACTTCTTTTAAGTGTGTTGCTTGTTCTCTGTTAGAGCAGTGAAAGACTAGTACCTGCAATGACCATGACCTGCCTTACCAGACAGCAGCACTGCCCTCTCTTGCCACCTAGAAAGAACCGCACTTCAAGAGCAAACCAGACATTTTCCCTGGCTACCAGGAATAAGTCGTTCATTAAAGATGCTACCTCTCAACAACATGTCAAGAAAATCCAAACAAATATGCAGTACAGTTGTGCATGTATTAGACTTGCTATTTATCAGTCATCAACATTGCTTTTTTTGATTCTTTGCTTTTTTCAAAGTCTAAAGGGCAGTTCAGAGACTGAGAAGAGTTATGCTCCCAAGACAGAATTAAAGTGCTTAAACAGTCAAATTTGAACCTGCAGACTGGTTACTCTCCCTTCAAGCTAGTTACTTTCTAGATGCTCTTCACTTGCATTACATTACTTAAAAATAGTTGTGGGCTTTTTTCATTCTACAAACTCCATTTTCTAAAATATATATACTGTAGAATAGCCAATTTGGTATTATTCCAGTACCAGAGCAAGGGAGAAGTGTGTGAAAGTAGCAAGACAGCAAAAAAGCACCCCAGGAAAAAAACAGGAGACATTTACGTTATGAAACTCTGTCACAACATGTAGGTGCTAAAACTTTACTTCTATTCATGGGGAATCTGGACAAGTTAATGAAAAAGAAACCCACTGATGGTTACACAGAAACCACATACAGCTCATAAATACTGATGGCTTGGAGAAGTAACAGATATGTTTGCAGAAAGGTTACTATAACATTCCAATGTGCCTGTGTGAAAGGTTTCCACTTTATCTGATGCCAGATTTTTCTCTCATCCACACACTGGAAAGAACAGAGTTCAACCATTATATTGTAAATAAATGGTAAGATTCAGTCTTATGTTTTTAATTTTCACCCTCAGATATTCAGGCCTGAAATAAGCATGTGTTTTCTTATGTTTTTTAAACTGTCTTTGTTTTAAGAGCTACAAGAATTTTCCCCAAACAACGAAAGACTGTCTGCAAGCCGAAGTCTCTATAAAGCATCTTCCAGCATACCACCTGATGTTACGCTCATCATAACACAATGTTAACGCTACCACAGAGACCTGAACTTGCGGTAAGTCAAGTCAGACAACACGAATGTCAACTGCATCGAAGTAAGTCGACAAAACTGCAACCTCTGTTCACATTTCTGAATGCTGACTTGGAGACAGCTGATTAAGCACCACAATCCCCACAAAGAGAGCGTGCTGAAGTCACTCTGAAGAACAGGTGGCTACTCCATTTGCCATGTGTTTGTATTGACCAGGCACAGCCCTGACTAAGCTACAAAGTAAAGGAAAAGTCAAAGTCATAAGGGCACCTTTTTTCCCAGTTAAATACTTACTATTTTATACATCTTCCTTAAAAAAAAAGTTATAAGCATACTAAATAAACACTAGTAGTACCAAAAAGCAGAGCATCACCTCAGCACACTGGACTTTAGCAATGTAGCCACTGTTCTGCAGCTCCATCCAGTTGGCTTCATAGAGCTTTGGTCCGATCAGGAAGTTCAGGTCAACAATTTTATCATCTTCTCTGACCAGGGTAGCTGTCAGCCCCAGTTTACAGTGAGCTTGTACAATAGTGAGCACACGTCTGAACATTTTTGCTAAGAAATGCAAGACAAATTTTCTGTTTACTTTCCTGAATGGATTTAGAAGACAAATACTGCAACTTAAGAAAAACACTTTCATCAACTCCTGAACAAAAGCAAGCAGTGCTGGGAAATTTTACCCCATTTCACACACACTTCTAACAAATCTGTGTTACAGCAAAACTTTGTACTAATTGCAGCTTTAGTTTACATCTTCAGTGCAATCTGAAAATCCTAGTAAACCTTCTGGCATATTTATATTTTATATTTCCCAAAATAAAAATATATTCAGAGGTCACATGGCTTGCTTTAGGTCATATAGTATTTCATAGGAAGAAGTATGACACAAGGACTCTTTAGTATTGCTAGAGATCACAGAGGGGATTCTAAGCCTTAATTTTTATGAAACCAGTAAAGAACAAAAGTGAAAGAATGGTGGCAGCAACACACTGCTTTGGTAAAATGGCAGTTAATCATTAAGGTCTACTTCTGAAATCCATCATTCCTGCAGACACCAAATTATATTCAAGTGAAATAATGAGAATGAGGTACAGCAGCTAACAGAATCCTGGGGAGTATTTTTAGCCAGGATTATTCCACAGATTTTAATACTACATTATGGCTTTCCAAGAGTATAGATCTCAATTACATAGTAATTTCAAATCCAACAGCTATTTCTGAACAGTAATCACTATGGTTACTCAGATTTTATTGAGTAGAAATAGATATTAAAAGCTACCCTACAGTGCTACTACATCTCAAAAGAAAAGGCGGCAGATGAATTCCTCTCCTGTTCAAATTTGCCTACATCAATATTATACATAAGTAATTCAGGTATCTTAAGAGCAATTTATTAACCTACACAAAATGAGAAGGCACTTATTATATATTTTACACCGCCATTACAGAAAACACAGCACCTAATTTGAAGAGTTTCAGAAAACTAATGGACAGCTAAACTTTGTAGTATCAGGGGAAAAAAACAAAGAAAGAAAGAAAGAACAAGGCAGTTTACTTGTCTCAGAACCCAAGGCCATGGGTTTACTCACTGTATTAATCATAAGACAACAAAAAACCAGCACTTCTAAAAGAGCAGAGTAACATTAACAGTGTGTATAACGTGAAAGGTTTGGACACCGTTTCCTTACCAGGGATAGTATGTACTTCATCAAGTATCATAAGGCCCCACTCTTGACTTTTAAGCCACTCCATTACTCTTTCTGCTTCCCAGGACCTTTTAGTTGTGTGGCCCAACATGGAATATGTGCTGATAGCAATAGAACAGCCAATGGGCTTGTCTTTGGCATCAGAAGTGAACCGGCAGATCTGACTGTCGTCGATGGTGGACCACATCTTGAACTGGGCTTTCCACTGCTCTACAGACACTGCAGAATTACCAAGGACCAGGCACCGCTTGCGGACAGTACATGCTGCTGTCACGCCAACTAGAGACTTGCCAGCACCTGCAGGGGAAGAAGAGTGATGATCGTTAGTCATCTCTCAAATATCACTGGAGTAGGAGGGAGGAAAAAAAAGAAAAGAGCTAAGGAAAACAGGAAAACTGTGAGAGGATATGGAATGATATAAGGACATTCTTCATTGTTGTTTTATAGTCTTGTATAGTCTTACAGAAACGGAGTATTCGCTTCTGAAAAGCCAGGTGGATTGTCTACTGCACACATTTCCTCAAGAAAATAACTGTAAACATGGCTTTGCCAGTTAGAAGCAATCATTTTAATGTTTTCTTAATTTCAAAAGCATGTTAAATTACAAGTGGCTACAGAAAGCTTCCCCTAAATGTGATCTATCCCACTGCCCCCACCAGCTATGTTCGGTCCCTCCACAGCAAGTGCTTAAACCTTTCCATTCCTCCTTCACGCTTCTTCCAGCATCCCTTACACACTCTCAGGCCCTCGCTCTATTTCCTATGTGCTTCCTCCATCCCCAGCACCAAAGGCACTGGGATGCAGTCTCCTGTTGTCTCCTTTTCCACCATTTCCTACAGGTTGTACCAATCATCACATTCCTCATTTCTTTCTCAAGAACTACTGTTTGAAATCTAAGCAGGTGTCATATTCAAAAGTTACTTCACTACAGATGAATAAAGAACAAAACCCCTAAATACCAACCCAGAAACTTACCACATGGCAAGACAATAACACCAGACCTGGCTCGCCCATTTCCAAACATCTTCCTTAGACTTTTCTCTTGATAGGGCCTGAGGACAGCTGTAGGTTTCAAATCGATATTAATATCAGGATTCACAGAATCATTTCTGAAATCATATTCTGCCAGCAAGGGGTACTCCAAATGGATACAACGCTTCTGAAGTTCTTCAATCATCTCCTGAAGAGGAAACAAAGGTTCAGATGGTAAATTCTCCACATATGAGTTAATGATTTTTTTTTTTTTCCCCCCAAACAGCTGAATTATACATAGTACCATTTCAAGTTAACATTTATTTTTTATGGTCATGAAGTCTGCAAAAGTTAAAGTTACTTTCAAAAACTTTATTTGTGATCACCCCTGCCCCCCCTTAAAAAAGTATTTTAAATAACAAGCGATATTAGACAGGACTATTTAGACAGATGGAAGAACACTACACATTAATCTCAGATGTGTTGTTTATCCGGCAGTGACTAAACTACACCGTGAAGTCCTGAAACAAAGAGCTCTGTAACAGACACAAAAGGTTCAGTGTGTTACACAGAAGGACCTACCAAAGCTGCACATTTGTTATCTGGAAAATCTCCATATCCATATACACAATGTCAGCTGATTCATTCACTAAGATTGTTGGGTTGTTTTTTTAAAATAAATAAAATAGCTACTACATTATCTTTTTTTAAAAATTCTCGTTTTCCCAATAAGGCATCAAAACCAACTTGAGAAATTCTACTAAAGCTCTCTGAAGTTCAAGCCAAGACTGCTCCCACCTCCAGCTACCCTTCTCAAGTTAAGTCAGAACCACAGAGTTCCTTCTGCATGAATCACAAAACAAACAGGAAAAAAAAGAAAAAATATCCCCAAAAGCTCTGAAACCAACAGTAGATTTGCCCTCCACTGGATTCTCACTTGTCTTGCACAAAGCAACACTAAGCTGCTCATGGGGGAACCTCCCTTAGTCTCTGGAGTCTTCTTCTGACCTGTGAGCACATTCCCCAAAGCTACAAATGCAGAGACTAAATGTTCATACTTGCTTGACTTCAAAGGACACTGTCTGTGTTTCCTCCTCCTCCTCCTCCTCATCTTTGTCCATCTGCTCATAAAACTCAAATAAGTCAGCCGCGACATCTGGCTTAATCTGAGCATCTGCTCCCTGTGATGTGGACGGACCAAACCCACTTTCACTGGATTTGGAAATCTGAAATAGATGGGACAGGAATTTTCACCAAGGGTTTCATTAGAGACACACTCCACCCCCACCCCCCAATCTGAGCTCATTAGGGAGGCAGAGATCATTGCTGACAGAACTGAAAGCAACTGCTGATACAACAAACAATAACCACTCTAAACTACTCAAACAGTTTATCCACTGTTAATTCAGTAACTTTAAAACACGCCCAAACATACCGCTGATTTACTTGTGAATGTCTCTGTAATAAGCTCTGTTTCTTCACCCTCAGCATTTCTCAGGCGACAGTCTCTGATTACATGGTCTTGCAGAAGCTGCTGAATGACATCAGGATGGGTACTTTCCACAAAATACCTAAAATTAAAGAACAAAGAAAAACGTTTTTATGAACTAATGAACTGAATAACTTACAGGAAGAGTGATATAGATGCTTAAATATATACCTATCCCAGATGCACTCTCAAGTATGCAATCTTGGGGGTGATGATACAAAAATCAAGAAATTATGGCAATCAAAATTTTAAAAAGATGCCTCATACCAAAAGCATCATGTGATTATTCATCTTGCTCAAATGTTCTCTAGCATAATACGAGTGGGAAAACTCCAGAATTGCCTAGAGACAGCTCTCACATATGTATCTTATTTGTGACATGTTGTGCTGGTTTAAGCCCTGCTGGGACCAGAGACCATGTTGCCATTGCCCCTTCCCCACCCTCAGCCGGTCAGGCTGCCAGTGAGGCAGAAACCCTGGGTTAAAATAAGAAATTTAGTACAACAGTGTGATAAACAATCTGAACAACAACAGTAGCAATGATAGCAACAGTAAACAGTAATAACAGTGAACAAGACAAAAGATATACAGAGAAATACCGCAATGGTTACAGACAGCCCCGTGCTCCCCACGACCAAAGCCACAAAGGAAAAAGTTCCCGCACTGCTGGGCTGGACCTGATGTCAGCATGGGATGAATAACCCAGCTGGAGATCCCTTCCCCCTGTCTGCTGGGGAAACTTAACCCTATCCTAGCTGAACCAGGACACATGTGACACAAGGCAATTTTTTTGAGACTGAATTGAGGTGAGTCTGTGAAAACACTGCATGTTGTGCTTTAAACTCTTGCCCACAGGACCAAAAAACCCAAAAGACAAAAATCCAAAACCTCCAAAAAACAAACCACCTAAAAATTTAAATTAGTGTGTCCCAAAACTGTTTCTCTCCCTGGAAATTCATCAACACTGATGCTGGTTAGAGATTATAGTTAAAATATGAGACAAAAAGAGACAAAAGTGGCATGGAAGAAATCTTTTTCTCAGAAACACCTAGGAAGCAGACAAAAACCTGCTAGTAATACTACCATTAGTTCTACACAAAGCAGCAGGTTCAGAAAAGCAGCAGCACAAGCAGAGCATTTTATTATAGTCCCAGGGCTTATCTATACCTGTCCAGACAACAGAGAACTTTGCAAATGAAATAAAAGAGAAAGAGAAAACAAAGGCAAGGTACAGACGTAGGCTTTAGGTTTCTGCTGTCTCCTTCCTTTCCCTCTCCCTATTGCAGAATCACAGGTTTAGATAAAATTAGTCAGCTCTAGACTAGCTGACCTCTCAAGGTCCCTTCCAACATTACCCTCTGGGTTTAAAACAAATCAGATTCAACACAGCAACAAACACGCACCTCTTGCCAATGGATTTGCTCATCCTTCCCGAATAATGATTACAGGTCAGAATGCACAAGACTGAAGGACACCTTTAGAAAAATTTGTCTAACCTGGCTCACTTAGATTAGGAAAGAATGAATGAAACAACCATCTGAAAACCTTAAGGATATATTGCAAATCCAAGCAATAAAGAAACAAGCTTAACCTACTCTTTAAAATGTAGTGATAACCAGTAGTAGTTCAGGACAGCCAAACTGAATTAATTGACTAACGTATTAAGTGCTTTCAACAACTGAAAAAGTGCTCTTGTACTGATAGATGCTGCACTCAGTTGGGAGCTCTAAGACTCAACAGCTCCTAAGACCACTCACTATGCAGAGCTGTGCATTTGGAGGACTTCTTCTGCCACACGAGTTAAGGAAAAAGCCACTTACCTGTTATGTTTCAGTACCAGCTTCACCTTCCCGTAGCTGACAGTACACAGCTATTGAAAGAACAAGAGCAGTCATTAGGAATATGCAAAAGAGTGATTCTACATCTGGAATCAAACACTGCAATGCAGTTTAGGTCTTTGTGGGGAAACATGGTATGTTAAAATGTTTACTTGCAATGTTGTTATACTTATGGAACAAACCTGAAAGGGTGTTTTCAGAAGACGTACACATCATCTCACACAGATCAGTCACAGATATTCAGTTTTGATACCCAATTCCAATCTGCTTCCAAGACTGCAAAAACATACTTGCAGGATAAGGTAGGCTATGTTTTATAGCACACGGCTATTCCAGACTGCTTCCCACATTCACTCTTCTTCCAGAGCAAATCTGAAGAAACTTTCCCCACGTACAATTTCTACTGGCTGAAAGTATGCACAGAGATGCTTGGGTACACTTTTTTTTTTAAAAAAAGAGATATAAATCCCACACAGAATATATTGTGGAAATAATATGTGTGCAGCAATATAGTACAGAAAAAGGCAAAAAATTGGATAAAACCTCTCTTTTCTTGAAACAGTGATGGAACAGAAGAAGAACGTAAAAACAATGAATTATTAAAAACATAAATCAACTAAGCAGAGGCAGCAGGGAAGGGTTTTAGTAGTAGCAGCAGATATATTCCCAATGCCGAAAAATAGTCTTACCTTGATAAACTGAATTATTCCGTCTGGGACACCAGTTTTGCTCAGTTTTTGTAAATAGTCTGTGATGTCACTTGTTTGTAAGCCAACGCTAACAGCAGCATACAGTGAGTAAGCAGTCAGCTTGTACTCGTGAATGTGGGTTGGTCTGCACACAGGCTCAGCAATAGCAACCAAAAAATCCTGTGCATACTTGTAAACTGGAGAAAAGGCTTCCAGAAAAATATGCCCATCGGGAGCCTACAGAAATAAAAAGAATTGCTGAAGGCACAAGTGTTAGTTGAACAGAACCAGGAATTTCCTATAAAGCAGATGTTATGATATAGAGACAGTCCACTATTTGGGGAGTAATGGATCACAGGGTTCCAAAAAAAAGTGTTTGCCCTAATGACAAGGTTACAAGAAAAAGAAGAAAGCAGACACAGCCAACTTTTGTCTTCTGCAAGGATCTAGACATTGATTAGTCCGTGTCCCTTCTATGGCACTAAGAATAAACCACACCCAGATCGATGGAGCTCTTCCAGACAGACATGTTGGGGTGTTTATTCTTTTTTAATGCTAAGGAAATTGCTTGAGCAGAAGCAAACTTCCAGCCCTATTCCCCTGAAACCAAACTCCTCATTCATTTTACATGAACTGAATTAAAGAGGAAAGATAGCATTTGGGCATCACAGCATTCAGTTACAGACACCCTGCAGATGCTGGCAGGGCAGCCACCTCTTCTCTATACGCTTGTACTAGTGGCCAAGCCTTGGACAGGTTTATTAACGTCCCTCTCAGCACAGAGAAAACATGGTACCAGCTGCAGAAAATGAGACCAGCCTGTATTAAGGCTGTTTCATTCCAACACAAAATTCCCACTGCTGTGTCACAGCAACAAGAGATCCCACCTGTGTCACCAGCCAATGCCGTCGCTCCCACGAGGCGTTCCGCTCCCTCCCAGAAGCGCCTCCCCAGTCGCTGGCGCACCCACAGCAGGGTATGCGGGACAGAGAGCGGACCAGCAGCTGGGAGGGGAGCAATTCGCCTCGCGTGGGGCTCGCCCGCAGGGGCTGGCGGCCTTATCTGGGGTGGCCTCCCGCTGCTCACAGCCCGGCTCGTCCCCGCACAGGCGCTGCAGGTACCGCGCTCTCCCACCCCAACAGAACCAGCGCAAATGTCGCTCCGAGAGAGGCGCCGGGGCCAACCTCAGGAGCACGCTCCCTCCACACAACCCTTTTCCCCGGTGCCCCCGCTTGACGCCGCAGAGCCCCGCAGGCTTTGCCGGACGGTCCGCGGCACAGCGCCGGATTCTTTATGGGGGAAAAAAACCCAAACACGTGCCTGTCAGCTTCCCTTAAAACCCTACCGGTAAGAGACGGCCTTATCGGTACAAACGCCACCGGTGAGGGGCGGACTGGCTGCCACCTGTCACCCGCCCGGGGCTGCGGCGC